TTTTTTTTTTTTGTTCTTAAGGACGAAAGCAAAAAAAAAAAAGAACATCAATTGAATTTGTGCGTCACTCGAAGTACTAGGTGGGATCTGCCTCCCTACATGTAGAGATTCTATATATATATATATGTGTACATTTACATCTTTTGTTTTTGCTGCTATGTTATTCCCATCCTTTTCTTTTTCCTTATTTTTTTTTGTACATTACGAAAAAGCACATAAGCGAAAAAGTAGTTCTTTAGGTCAAAAAAGAGAAAATATATATATATATATATATATATATATATTTATATAATTTGTTCTCCTTTCACCCTTTTCTTGATTTCTTTATTTATTTTTACTCCACTTAACAACTGCACAATGAGTACAATTTCTTCTTTTTCCCGAACGGAAGATAACACGGAGGTTGGAAACGGAGATGGCGCTGGATCAATGTTTCAACAACCACAGCAACAGCAACATCAACAGCGAATGGAGGATCTGCTTTCTCACGGCTCCCCACTTCAAGCAGGTTCACGTGATGATTATGAACAGAGTGAACTATCAAGAATAACACAGTGTGGAAGTACATATGGTGTCCAAGAGACTGCAAGTACCACATTTGTTGTGGAGATAAAAGGAACCCCCAACACTCGTAGTAATGTTGAACATGAATCCAAACAGTTAAATAAAGAAGCTCTTTCCAAATTAGAGAAAGTTGTGGCTGCTGGAGGTTTACCATTACGTTCTGAACTTCTAGGTGATGATTCAACATGTTTAAGAAACTTCCCACGTCAAGAGAGAACTATAAGTGTTGTATCCATTGCCCCAGAAACAGAGATCAGTGTGGATGGTTCACCAAGGCGGTTTGACGTGGATACCATACCCAGCATGGTTTCCACAAACTGTAGAAGAGAATCTCTCGCGGAGACTTCAGTTGTCAGTGTAGAGAGTGTTTGTGGAAGTTACACCACTACAACTCTTCTTGGTGCTAATGCTACGGCTATTCCCTCTCATCTAGATACAGATATTACTCCTGCACATGTAAATGCGGAGGGTTCCTCTACGACTCCAGATATTCCATTCTTGGATGGTGGTGTGCAGTCTTCTGCTGCGGTTGGGGAATCTTTTACGCATGATGCAAATGCAGATTTTCCTGTTGGAAAGGGATACCGAGTAAAGGATAGTTTTATGACTCAAACCGATTTAACCATCCCATCAGATGATTTACGAATGTGTAGTACCACAGATGCGTTAAGTGATAAATCTAAACCACGAACCCCACTTACTGGTTCACTACTAAGTAGAGAAAATCTGGATACATTAAAACGACAAATTGCATCTGGTCAATGTAATCTACGCGATGGATTGTTAATGGAATTGGGTGTAACGTTATTACCTCGACCTGAAAGATCTCAAAGTATGGTGGTTGAAGTACCCGCTACAAATTCTCACCTTGAGGAATCAATACCACAGCGGGAATTGGCCTCTTCTCAGGATTGTGGTAAAACGTTAAGTAGATTTGACGATGGACAGAATGCGGAAACTTGGGATGATGTAAATGATCAACAATCTATATTAGATCAAACGCTTGCCAAGTTGCAGAATATGGAATCTGAGCGGGCAGGTATTATTTCGGAATTAGCAGAACTACGGGATTATGTACAAGTACGTACAGAAGATGTAACAAGTTTATTAAAAGTAAATGAATCCAAACAAGTTGAATTTCAGAAAAAAACAGAGGAAACTTTTTCCAAAGTTGTAAGACAAATAACAGAATCAAATACAGGGTTATCTACTATGATAAATAATGAATTGAATGTACTTACAGAAAAATATACAGGAGATTTTCATAATTTAAAAGGAAATTTTGAAGGAAAATTAGAAAATCTTATTTCAAAGATGGATGATCGATTCTCAAAAATTGACGAATCAACCAATCTTTTACTTATTCAGCAAGAAAAATTACAAAAACAATTGAATCATACTTTTCAGGTGGAGGCATTTCCTCAAGAAAATGAAATTCCTGATGGGAAAAAAATGCGTTTTGTAATTGATGTTCAAATTTATGATGATTGTAGAGAAGTTTTATTACCTATGAGTGTGAAGGCGACTGTAGGTATGTGTAAGCGAGAAGTTTTACGAAGAATTCGTCATCAAGGTTTAATTGAAGATGATATTCAATTTTCCAATGTTGTTCTTATGCATGGTACATACACTTTATTTGAAGAGGATATTCTCGCAGATATTCTCTCACCGGTTCTACAGGAAGCAGAAGCTGAGGGAACTTGTGTTAATTTAAAATTAAGAGTAATAAATTTACGCAATAGTAAAAAATTGTTACGAGTATCAGAAAATGCAGAAGGAGATAAGGAATATATATCATCAAGATCAAAAAATTCTTCTCCTGCTGGTTCAGCTTCTTATCTCCAACCTTTACCTCTTCCTACTTCAGAGCAAACTTCTCAACTCGTGGAAACTGGTGTCCTAACTGCTGCGCTTGTGGATGATCTCTCTCAGAATGAGTCTTTAGATCGTCGACTTGTCTGTGAATTAGAGCGTATGGAGCGGGATACACTTTTTCAAAATGAAAGAGTACGCCATGTTGTTATTGCCAAAAACGCCTTAAGCCGCACACGTGCCGCTTTATTAGATCGAGCCACACACTCACCAGTGGAAGCCCATCGCCGCGTGGCTCGCAGTGCTCTTGCAAAGTTGGATCTCGCCTTGGGCCCAGGCGCCACAGTGGAGGAACTCGGAATGGCAAGCAGTATGGCTGCCGCAACACTGCGCAGCATTACAGCCGCAAGCGGAGAAGATGAACGCGTGGATATTGTGCTGGAGGCAAAGCGTTTGGAGGAAGAAAGGAAACAACGATTGGTAGGGGAAATACAGAAATTAAGTGAGGAGGTTGAGAAAAAATTGCGTATACCTGTTGGACTTGTGAAACGTGCGGAATCCCTCACACAAGATGCACAGCGGGCCATTGTATTAGCGCCTAGTATGACATTTAAGGAATTAGACGAGGTGTATAAAAGTCTGGAGGATTTCTGTGCCGTTGTTCGAACGCATAATTAGTTTCGAAATCTGTCTTTTTTTTTTCTTTTTTTTTTTCTTGATTCTTTGATGTTTTTTTTTTTTTTTTTCCATTCTGTTTCTTTCTTCTTGTGCGCATGTTTTTAATCCTCTCCTTTAGTTTAGTTTTGTTTTTTGTATTTGTGGTTATTCTTCTGTCTTTTTTTTTTTTATTATTATTGATGTGAACGCAAGCGGGGGGTTAAAAAAGAAAAAAAAAAAAGAAGAGATCAACTTATATTTCTCTTTTTGGGGTGGTGGTGTTATTCTTACCTTTCTATGTTATTAATTTATTGTTATTTTCTTCTTTCTTGGATTTTTGTAGATGTGATTTGATGAATATCTAGTTGTTGTTCTTGTTTTTTTTTTTTTCTTTGTTTTCTTTCTTGTCTCTTAGAGGATATACTCTTGCTTCCTCTAAAAGTATACGTATTCATTTTTTTTTTTTTTTTGTTTTCAAACTATATATTTCTTTTTATTTTATTTTATTTTTTTATTTTTTTTCTCTCTTGCGATTACATACACTGAACTCTAGGGACGTATTTGGCCGGTACTTAACGAAAAAAAAAAGAGGTTAAGTGGCTGGTGAGGAAGAAAAGGAAAAGAAGGAAAAATAGATAACATCATTGTATGCGCTACTATGAATGGAGTAAATGAAACTCCTTCTATCAACAACAACAACAACAGTACAATAACTGCTATAAATAAGAGGATGAATCCCCTTTATTGTGTTCTTTGTCCTCGTGGAATTGAGGATGTGGTAATGTTTGATCTGGAGAAGATAGCACCACCCATACGAATTCATTGGAAATCTAAAATTTCACCCAAGCAACTCTTACCAGGGTTATCTCCATGCTCAAGTGAAATGAATACTTCACAATATCCTGAAGAAACTGAGAAGAGCCATGATGAGCATCATGGTATACCTGAATATTCTGATCAAGGGATACTACGAGGAGGTTTTTTCTTTACTTTAAGTTCATCAAATAATGAGAATATTCCAGCTTCTATTGAGGATACGGAAATATTTTTGGACAAGGCAAGTCGTGTACGTTCGGTAGAACTTTTGTTATTACATCTCATGAGTGCTCCATGTACAGAAAGTCCTGAAGAACTGAATGAACCCCTAATACATGTTAAAGAAGATATTAGTACTGCAGTAATTGAACATTTAAGTGCATTGCGTACTGCTGCTGCAGGACGAAGCCATCTCTTGTCAGGATATCAAGGGCCTTGGTTTCATTCACCTCTTACAAATTCTACCGTTATGTTTCGAGTAAACTGTGTTCGTAGAGAAAGTGGTGTTACTTCTCCCTTCAGTTCACAGCAACTCGCAGCTTATATTGGTGAATCCATATTTGAACAATTTGACACGACTGGTTGGAGAGTAAATATGCTCTACTACAATGTGGAGTTCTTCGCCCTTCACGATGTTGGTCATGTTCATCTTGGTTTAGTGTTAACTCCACCGGCCCTTCCCCGTGTGGGGGCGGCGATGCACTACACAGCTCAACTCGGTATGGAATTGCTGCGGCAGCGTATTGGTAATCTTCTCCTACACAATAATAATAATAATCATCATCATCATCAAAACAACAACAATAGCAATAAGGATATGATTGATTTGAGTGTAGCGGTGCGGGCTGCCATTCCCCGTCCCGGTGCTGTTCGCCATGAACTGCGGGTGTTGAAGGGCGAGAATGCCATGCGGCCGGCTGTCGCTGCGGCCCTTTGCCGCTACGCTGCGGTGGGCGCCGGCGCCGTTCTCGTCGACCCCTTCGTTGGCAGCGGCACACTTCTGCTGGAGGGGTGGGCGGCCGCGGGGTTCGCGCCAGTGAGCGCGTGGGGTGGCGACTGCGGCCCCGCCAACGCGGCGAAGACACACCGCAACGTGCAGCCGGACGTGATGTTTCTCGCCGCCGTGAATGGACTGCTGGCAGACAAGCGGCAGGACTGTTTGAGAGGAGAAGTCGCAGTGCAATGCAGGGCGTTACTGCAGGCGTTGGAGACATACGTAGAGGCGATGCCACACCCATGCGCCGCACACGCATCGGGGGAGTACCCACCACAAATAAAATGTGTAGAGGCAGAGAAGGCAGCTGAGAAACTGCAGCAACTACTCGCTTCACATTATAATTTAAATGCACAGGCTTTCCATTGGGATGCAACGCGACTACCATTACGAAATAACTCTGTAGATTGTATCATTTCAGACCTTCCATTTGGTAGGAGATGTGGAAGCCATAAGGTTAATACAAAACTATATCCAATGATGATTCGAGAGTCCTATCGTATTCTTCGCACATCACGCATCAGAAACAATAAAAAAGAAGAAAACGGTGATCAACATCATTTTAAGAGTTTAAATTTTGACCAAAAGAAGTATTGGTGGGTATCTGATACTATGGAACACTGTGGTCGTGCGGTATTATTGACAATTGAAGGAAAACTTATGATGGATGTTCTTGAGAATCTTCGACACGAGTGTCCATTTAAGTTACTACACCCACCATTTGCTGTAGATATGGGCGGATTGTATCCCTACGTGTTTGTTTTAGAAAAAGAGTAATAAAATATATATATATATAGACTCTAAAAGGAAATTGTCATGTCTGCGAAACGTACACTATAATAATTAGGCATTAGCAGGAGTCTTTTTTTTTTGTTTTTGTTTTTCTTGTACATGAATGCTGTTTGATATAGTCCGCTTTATCGGGTTGTGAATGTGGTTATAGTGGTTGTTAATTTTCTTCTACATGATTGGGAATGTCATTTTTTTTTCATTTTTAATTTTTATTTTTTTCTCTGAGGTTCTTTACAGCACTGAACGAACTCATTTATTTATATATATTGTAAAAGAAAGAAAGAAGAAGAAAAAGAAAAAAAAAAAAATAAGGGAAAAATGGAAGAAACTGATTTTGTAGCACCCACTGAAAAGGATTTTGAAAATGATAATGAAGAAATCCATCGTTTAACAAAGCGTCATCACTCACTTACACGTGAAGAACTGAATCAGCTGCGTGAAGCCACAGTGGAGGAGATTGTAGAAGTGGATAAAGGCGTTGCGCGTGGAATGGACCTCTTTTTTGCTAATCTAATAAAAGATTCAGAAGAACTCTTTGCAAAGCAAGCTACGAAAGATCCACTTTTTGCGGTTGGAGCAGCATGTATTAGTGCTGTCAAAGCTATGCTTTCAATGGAACAACGTGATGGTGATATTGCGATAGAAAGAGTTTCTTTTTCCATTACTTTCGCTGAGGATCTTATTCCTGCAGGTAAAAATATATTTCAAAAGGTAGGTGGTTTATTTAGATCTAGAAGGGATTCGACGAAAAAAAAGATTTTACCTGGTGAATTTCGTGCTAGAGCCATACTTGCTGTTTCCTATGCCCTTCGTGGTTTTGTCTTGCTATTACAACCGAGTTCTTTGAACAATCTTATCAAGGGAGGAATGGCTCTCAACAAAAGTTATCATTTATTTAAAACTCTCCAAAATGAGTTAAATGATTTAAAGGCAGAAAAGAAAGTTGACTCATTTGATGAATTGGGTCTTGACTATAACAGTGTTCATGTTGTACTTTTGGGGTGTGGTTGTACTAATGTTGCATTATCTATATTACCTCCCCGAATTGAACGTTTACTTAATTTTCTGGGCTATACACATGATTTTGAACTCGGAACTAATCTTGTTCTTGAGTGTTGGAAGAGTGAAACATTGTTTTCACCCTTTGCTGGTCTCTTTCTTATGGCTGTTAACAGTTTTATTCCTGGATTTTGTTCCATGCTCATCCCGCAAACTCTTCCTCTTGCGAAAGATTTGGCAGCCGATGTGCTTGCACGTCCAACTATGAAAGAATCACTCATTCACTTGTGGTTATTAGGACGTATTCGTCGACTTGAAAGAGATATGAAAGGAAGTATTGATGTTCTTTCAAAATGTTTGGAAATTACAGAGTCTAGTCAAGTTATGGAAGCCTTACCACAACTTCGAGATTTTGCACTTTATGATCAAGCATGGAATTTTGCTATTGTGGGACGATGGCAAGAGTGCATCTCATATTATAAACTTCTTGAAGAAAAATCTGCATGGTCTAAACTTTACTACATGTATGCACAAGGTTGTTGTTATGAGATGCTTGCATTTGAAGCCTCTGAGAAAAATCAAGAAGAAGAATCTCATAAATATATTGAAGAGGCTTCACGTGTTTTCTGGAGAACGGCACATCAATCTACACGAACAGTAGGAGGAAGAACAATTTCTATAGAAGCTTTTGTGGCAGCCAGACTAGATGAGATGTTCCGTCAAGCTGGTGTAACCAATCCTAATCCAGGTAATAAGAAGAAACTTAATATGTCAAGCGAAAAACCACCAAATGGAGTTATTCTTCGTAATACTGTACCATTGTCAATATTAGAACTTGCTGCTTTGTTTGATATGCTGCATCAATTACCAACTGACATACTTGAATCATTTTTAGGAACAATTAAACAAGTGTCAAGTAAAGTTATCGTCAGTACTGTTACAACGCCTGAAAATGATAAAATTTCAAATAGTAGCAGTCAACTTTCATTCTCAGGCAGTTTATTCAGTACTGTTGGTGTTTCTCTTTTAGTTGAAGCTCTTGAGAGTTTGGTACTTGTCCAATTAACTGATAGACGACAAGAGGCATATCAACTCTTTGAAAAGGTTTTGAGAAAGTCTTCTCATTACAAGGGACGAAAGTGTACCTTGTCTTGGATAACACCATTTATATTATATGAACAAGGCGCATTTGCCTTTGCTGAAGATGATGTGGAGAGATGCAAAAAGTTTCTTGCTCGGGTTCATGATATCAATAATGAACAAGTGTTTCATGCTGTAATGGAGTCCAAGTTGCATTTTGCTAGGCTTGCCATGAAAGAAATAATGGTACAAACAGAAAAGTAGCCGTTTTTTTTTTTTTTTCTTTTCTTTTCTTTTCTTTTTTACTATGTTTTGCTTTGCCGTTTCCGTTCCTTTATTGCGTTTCTACCTCTGTATATATGTGCTTGATGTGCGGAAGTAAATACGAAAAGAAATGATGTGGTGTACACAAAAAAAAAAAGGAAAAGAAAAAGAAAAAAAAAATCAGAAAGGATAATTTCGTAGAGAAAAGGGGGATCTTGAGTGTGTGGAGAAGAAAAAAAAATGGTCATATTGAGATTGTGTACATAATGTTCGTTTTTTTTCTTTTTGTGTGTTTGCTTTTCTACTCTAATTCAATTCCTCAATAGAAACATTAGGGTTAATCACGTACGGTGGGATAATAGTGTTTACCTTTTGACTGGAAGTTTGTGGAAAGAATGTGTGACCAGACGAGGCCACGTAAATAAAGGCGATTTTTTCTTTTTTTTTCTTTTTACAAATTTTCTTTCTTCAATTTTATTATTTCAAATGTTATTATTCTTGTTAAGAAGTTACCAAGCCGGAATATATATATATATATCAATTGAGGTTTTTTCTTTTCCATTCCACCTATCCCGTAGAGGGGGGCGCCAGAGGTGTAGGAACCTCAAAACTCTGTTTTTTTTTTTTTTTTTCATAATTACACCACGAAGCCGTTATATTAATTTTTTTTTTCTTTCTTTTTACGAATTAATTATTTGATATTGAGGAAATAGCTGGCAGTGAATAGTAGAGAAGGGTGCCTTTTTTTTTTTTTTTTTTTTCTTTTTGTGCTTTGCTCTGAATAGTTATTTATTTGTTACAATATTTTCTCTTCGTTATAAAAAAGTAGGCCACGAGCTGAATCCAGGAGCATACAATTCTCTTCCTCTGTCTATATTTATATGTTTGATTCTGGGTTACTCTTTATGCCCAACGAAAACAAAAAAAAAATGGTGGCATAGACTATTATATATATATTTTTTTTTCTTTTCTTTTCTTTTTGCTTTATCAAGATTATTTGGTATTTCTGTAAGTTGCATCACAGTGCAAAAAAAGGAGAAGTAAGCATACCAAACGAATAAAAAAACAAACTAAACCGTAAAAGAAATAAAATAAAGAAAAGAAAAAAAAATAATAATAAACAAAAAAAACAGAAATATAGTATAAAGGCTGAAAAAGTAATAATATATATATAAAAAAAAAGGGAGGTGGAAATTATCTGTGGTTATGGCACACTCGAACGCTGAGAAGCCGGTAAAACAACCCGGCGTGCATGCACCTGAGATAAAGGCAGCACTGAATGCCCGCGCCATGTACAGAACCATTATCGTCACGTCTGTAGTGTTTCTACTGCTGGCGTGTTTGGCGGTCATTTCAAGTTCGTCTATGAAAGAAGGTGAGGACCGCAGCCGGCCGCGGGGTTTAGTGCTTGTGGTGCCTCATCTCGCCCCTGATATATTGGAGGCAGCGATGGAAAGTAATAAGGCGCCTTTTATTGGACTTCTCTCTGCAGCCGATGGGATCTATACAAGACTGCAAACAAGGAATGCAGATCTGATGGCCTCGCTGGTGACAATGCTCACTGGAAATGAGAACTCGACTGCAACTAACCTCGTGGGAGCAACGAGCTTTCTACAAGAATTAAAGAGAGTCGGTAAGAAGCCTATCGTGTTGGCGCCGTCTTTGTATTGGTCGGCAGAGAATAAAGAGGCTGGCAGTAATAGCAGTAGCAAGATATGCAGTCATGTTGGACTGTTCGACTCGGAGTGCTCTGGGCTTGCGTGTCCTGCAGTGAACGAGACGGCGTACTGCAATGTGGCCGAGAAACTTCTCTCATGTAATGGCAAGGCACATCTTTATCAGGAGGAAACCGTAGAGGCATTTCATCATTTTATGCAGCACGATGGTGATCTCCTCTATGTACACATGGATCTCTCCAACGGCACACCCACAACGAATGAGGAGGCCCTCTCCATGATGAGTGATATCAGCGTAATGGATGGCACTCTGGGGAAGTTGGCGCTCGCGGCTATTAAGCGCTCCACGGAGACGAAGGAGAGTTGGCTGATCATGCTTGTGGGAGCGGGAGGCGGTGGCCTTGCGGAGGTGCCGTTGATGATGGCGGCATACGTCAGAGGTGGTCTCGTGCGGTTTGGGCCCATATCGAAGAACGCCACACTCGCTGATATCGGACCGACACTGCAGAATTGGTATGGTCTCATCTCAGAAGGGGATGCACATCGAGTGCGAGGTATGTGCTCCACCGGGATTTTAGTTAGCAACTGTGAAAACACAACCAATTGGCCTTGAATTGGTAATTGGTTATATTATGGGGTAAAAAAATAATTATTTGTTTTATTACTACTACTATTATTATTATTACTATTATTATTAGTGGCGTTTGAAGTTGTAATTGTGTGTGTTTTTTTTTTTTTTTTGTAGATGGTCTGTTGAGTAACGTTTTTATTTTTATACCTTATGTTTATGTGTGTATATATCTTCCTTTTAAATAGGGTGATCTTTACTGATGATATTTTAAATGTTGGATTTATATGCAAAGATTTATTGAATAGTGTTGTGATTGTTCCCTTTATTTTTTATTTTTTATTTTTTCTTTTCGTAGGTGGCGATTTAGATTGAAGAAATGAAGGCCTTACGAGTTTCCTCTAACCCCCCGTTCACTGCGGAGAGTGTGAATACTCTCTCACGTGCGGAGGTTTTCCATGGATTGTGTTCAGACACCACAACCTCCTCTGCACGGTCCTCATTATCAGTCTTGTCTACACGAGAGAATGTCGCTTGGCGGGAGTTTGATGTCAAACAGAGACGAATATCTCCATTGCGGGCTCCACCGCCGTTGCCGTGCAGTTCCACCTCTCACTCTTCATGTTCTTCTTTGCTGGAAGTTGAGGAGCAAATGAATATAATAGATGGGAAAGGAATAGGAATGGAAATGGAAATAAAAGGAGGAATTGACGTTGGAGAGGAGGTGAGAAATGTTAACGACACCACAGCCCTCTCAGATCTCAGTGATGAGATTCAAAAGGTGGAAGCTCGTCTTGCCGCTATTCGTATGGAAGAAGAGGCGTTATGTTTATCTAAGCGAAGTGCATTACATTATAGTAGTGTACCTCGTAATAATAATCCTCCTATTACTACTAATAAGACTAGTATTGCACATCCACCAGAAATGGTAAAGAAAGAATCTTTTACAGGTTTACGTAATTATTTAAATACTACAACTTTATCAGGTGGGGAATCCACATATAATTCTTCACTAGTCCCATCAAGAGAAGTGAGAGAACGTTCATGTGAATCAAATCCAACAGTAGTAAGTGTAGTCTCTAACCCCTCAGATGTTGTATTTTCTTTGGCCTCATTTCTTCAACCCATTCGTACAGTTGATATTGAAGTTTCTCCAGGAGTGTATGAGAAACTTCAGATTTTTGCAGATGATGATATGGAAGAGGTTGCAAAGCGTTTTATTGCAAAACATAATCTTAACGAGCAGCGTGCACTTAAACCACTTTATACATTTTTGAGTTCCCTCATTTCGAAAGAGAATGAGAAGGAAAATAAGAAGAACGAACAACAAACTAGAGCCTGTAGTGAGATCTCCTATCCTGTAGAAAATATAAATATTAGTGCTCCTACTAGTTCTTTCAGAAGAATAAATAATGGACAATCTTCTATTACAGAGAAATCAAGTAAATCATCTATATCCAATATGAAAATATCTAGAGAGAAAGGAGTAGAGGATTATTCCATGAATCCCAAGAAGAAACAACAAGAACAACAGCAACAGCAACATCAACATCAATCCATAAGAGATACTGTAAAACCTGCTCTGAAGAGTATGCTGAATAGTTCAGGAACAAAAGAAAAATCAAGATTCTCTTGTAAATCCAATGAAGGATTGGTTCATCATCCTACTCAAGATCGTTATAATTATCAAAAAGAACGACGGACAACAACTCCTATAGGAAGAAGTAATAGTCCTCGTATTATTCGTCGAAGCACTAGTAGTAGTAACAGCAATAGTAAAGCACAAGAGTACCGATATGTAGATCCACACACAGTACGTAATAACATAGAGAGAAGTAAAGTAGAATCATCATCTCTATTCAACTCTCATCAACCTCCTGATATAGTGGCAGTAGAAGTACAGAAGAGTAATGGAGATAATTTACAGAAACGCAATAAAAATACAATAAAAGGAGAAAAGTCAACTTTTGGAAGTGCAAGGCCATCAAGATGTAATTCCGTAGAAGGACGTCGAACAATTAGTAGTGCTCGTCGTATTCAATCTATATATGATGTGGAGGAACCTCTTCCAACATTTAAACCAACACTTGCTCCACGGAGTGAACAGCTGGTGGCTAAAGACACACAACGTTGTCAAACTCCTACGTATGTACGTTTACATGCACAGACTATGAAGAAAGTACCTAAACAGACCAAAACAACAACAACAACAAAAAGAAGAGAAGATTACAGAGGGAAACCACGTATTCTTTCAAGAAGTCAAGAGAAAGTCTCACATGAACCTGTTGGAAATCGTTTATATGAACAGGCGATTGAGCAGCAACGTAGATTAGAGGAGAAACGACTAAAAGAGCAACAAAAGAAGGAAGAAGAGGAATGGCGTTCTTTACTTGCCGTACCTCAAATAAATAAAGAAAAGAATACCCGTGTACATACTAAATCTCAATTGCAGCGTAATGTAGATAAGGTAAAAGTAAAACCACGAGAGGAAAGAGAATTAGAGGCGTGTACATTTGCACCCGCCGTAAATCCGGCTTCTCTTCGTATGTTTAACATGGTTGTTCGTGGTCAAATAATAGAAGATGCGGGAATGTCAACAAAAGAAAAAGAAGAAAAAGAAGAAAAGGAGGAGGGACGTGGAAGTCGGGATTCTCATCGAGAGATGATCTCCGTAGAGGAGCGTCTTTTACTTCAGGAGGAAAAGCGACGGAAGCGACTTGAGGATGAGAGACACTTTCGAGAGAAGTTTGATGCCGCAACGGGGCGTCCACTCTTCCGTCCATTTCTTGGACGATAGAATTTTTTAACAAAAACGAAAAAAAAAAAAAAGGAATAATCTCTTTTTTTTGTTTTTCTGTGTTTTATTTGTTTGCTTTGTGTGTATTATTATTATTATTATTATTATTATTATTATTATTATTATTATTATTTTCTTTGTTTTCTTAGATGCATCTGATTTGTAACATTTTCTTGTACCGAATTCATTTTTTATATTATTTTCTTCTTGTTAAGTGGACGTATGAGTTAAGGTTCACTTGATTTATTCTTTCTTTCTTTTTGTTTTCCTCAAATATACAGTGGCCAATTGACGGTCGTGTTTTTTCGGAATGATATTATTGATATTTCTTGTTTTCTCCTTTTTCTTTTCTTCTTTAAAAAACGGTTATTACATATATATATATATATATATATGTATATATATATATATATATATATATTGGAAAGAGAAATAGAAATATAGATGTGATGAGAGCCTTTTTCGCTCGTAGACCCCTTCGCTTTATTTCTACTCAACAACATGTGGAAATGGTCTACCATCCATGCAGGAAGCCCTCTCGATGGTGTTCTCATTCAACAACAAAAACAACAATAATAAACAATACAGATAATCATCAAGAAGAAGAGAAGAAACAAGAACTGTTAAAAAAAGTACAGTTAACATGCAGTGCGTTGCAGAATACTTTAGGATCATTATTAGAAGATCGTCAATGTCTTTACCGTGAAAATGTGTTGGATGCAAAATTAACTCCAAAACGTCAAGAATTAAAACGTCTATTGCAGTTTAATACTTCTAATGTTGAATCTAGTGATGTTGTGGGGCTAACGCTTGAAAAACTTATGCAATGGAGAAAAGAATGGCTATTTGGAAAAGAAAAAGAAGAAGAAGGAGGAAGAGAAATAGATAAAAGGGATAAAGTACTTGAATTTTATAATGCTGTTTTATTTAGTGCTGCGATTACATCTGATGCGGATATTCGACTAGTTTTAGATACAATGAGAGATCATGATCATCTTGAACCAGATGATAAAACATATATTGCTATTATGCTTTCTCTTATTGTGGAACGTAAAGTTTCTCATCGAGTAAAAGATGATGTGGGTTTTTATTATTTTGGACATGCATTGAAAACAATGGGAGAATCTTTTATTACACATGAAATGTGGGGAGCTTTATTTATTCTCTGTACGGTTATGGAAACGGCTGGGAAATTAATAGATCAATGGTGGGATTTACTATTAAAGACATGTGAAGGTTCATCCTCTTTATTACCCTACGCTGCTGTTCATGCTGCTCTTACGTGGTGTTCTGCTAATCGTGATGTGGAGCGGGTATTACGTTTTTTTCACACGGCGAATAGTAAAGGAATTACCGCAATGACAGAGAATGGTTCCATCTGTGTTATTAAGAGTGGTGGTTTAACAGAAAAGAACAGAGATAAAATGATACAAATGTATCAATTAAAACTTTTGGTAAAGTTAATAGTGACGGTAAAGTCTATAAAAATGGATGGAGGACTTCGAAATCTTGTGATTAAAGATATTCGTCGTTTAATAGATGCAGATTTACTACAATCTGCCCCATGGGGTGTTTTGAATGATCTTCTTAGTGGTCTTTCCATGCCAAGTGCAATGCAATTATTAAAATTCCGATCTATGCATACATCTGAAGGGGATGGTGGAATTCCATTTACTTTATGGGCCTCATTACTACGGCGGTGTGCACGAGAGCATCACATTGATCAGGCGGAGTCCCTCTTTCTTTTTATTCGCAAACGTTTCACCCTTACATCTGTAGAGAAGGCAGAGTTAGTGGAGATCATGCTACGCATGTTTGCCACCCTTCCCCAGCCAGACTACACTTCCGCAATGGCGCTCTTTCTCGAACACGTTGTGCGAACCCCGCAGGGAGAACCGCGCGTGGCGGCCACTTCTTCTCTCTACGCATTGTTGGTCCGCGCCGCCGACAGTCGCAGTGCGGCGATGATGACATTTCTCGAGGCCTGCGCGGCGGGAGTGGGCGTGAGTGAAGAGATGTTGGAGGCCGTGGTGAATGCCCATCGGCACACAACAGTGGCGGCCCTCAGTCGTAAACTTCCACATGATTATCAGGCCTCTAAACTGGATGGATTAATTCACATTCCCGCGAACGTGGATGCACATCTGCGGCGTGAAGAGGCAATGAAGTTGCGGGGAAAGCCCATCGTGGACTCCACAGGGGAAGTGAATTGAGGCAAAAAAAAAAAAAAAAGAAGGTAGCTGGAAGAAAAAGAAAAAAGAAAAAAAGATTAAAAAAAAAAAAGAATAAAGAGAGAAAGAGAGAAAGAGAGAGTTGTAGCTTACGTTTAATGTGGTTGTGTTATTCCCTTGTATTTTAATCTTTTATTTCTCTCTCTATCTCAATCTCTATCTTTTTGTGTAAATATTCTTCCTTCTTTGGTTCTTATTTATGTTAGAGGAGGGGAGGTTGGGATGTATACAATAACCCTCACATAATGCATTAACCATCTTTATTTTTTTTCTTTTTACTTTTTTTTTTTTTAATTTGTTTCACTCATCTTGTTGAAAACAAAACAAAAACAGCGGCCACATTTACTGTGGGTGTTGAGAGGACACGAAAAGAGAATTCATTAAAAAAAAAATATATATATATATATATATATAAACAAAAAAAAGTATGGATGAGGATGTCGAACTGTCAACGCCCTCAAATATAATTCTCGATGCGACCTCACCGCAGCAGACACCACCCACAGTTCCCAGAAAAAATATTGTTCCGCTTATCACACCCCGTTACCAGAAGAAACAACGAACAAATCGTCATATTGAAGTAACCGATTCCTCAAGTGATCGAATTTCTGCCACAGAAGCTTTACAGCAACATATGAGAGAAGTGTTAACTGTTAAAAATGGTCCAATAAGTTATGAACAGGAAATGTTTTTTCACCCTTATGAGTTATACAGGCATGGAAAAAATAAAATTCATGTTAGTAGTGTTGGATATAGTAGTGAATGTGATCTTGTCGTGACACGTGAGGCGATATCTGAACCAAGTGATGTAGATTTGGGATTTGTTCGCCGACGTGCTGAAATACATAAAGCCATTTGTTTAGATCCAAAGGCTCGTCGTCCATTAACGGAAAGTGAGTCTCAAAAAAAGAAATTACGACTCAATTCTGGAAAATTTCGAAAATATCCTGGTATTCGAGCTCCAAAGAATCGTAAGGAACGTAATCGTTTATTAAATGATTACTTCGCCACGGAATATGCTCGTAAAATTATGGATAAATACCGTGAACGACAAGAGAATGGAGATGATGAAGGAGATACATCTCCACCTGTTCGTCCTGTATTTGGTAAACTTCCAAGTAGTTTTTATGATATTCTTGATCTTGACGAAGATGCCCAAACCCGTGCTCTTGAACGTGTTGGGGTTTATCAACATCCTGTAGTGAATAATGTGCCAAAAGATCCAGACTCTGGGGAATCACGTTTTCAAGGAATGAATGCCCGTCTACGTGGAGAATTAATACACGCTCTCAACAGTGAATTTCTTTCTCAACAAATTGATGATCTTGAACGTTCCTTTATAAGTTATATTTCCGAGGGAAATCCAAATAAACCATTAATGTATAACTTTCGTGATGGATATGGTCGTTTGGTTTGTCATGGTGTGGCGGCTTATTATAATCTCGTTTCCGAATCTCAATATCAACCAGATGGTACAAAAATAACAGTGGTGAGTTGGCCAAAGAAAAAGAAAAAGAAGGATTGTAAATCTTTGGCATTACCTCACATGACGTTAATGCAATTACTTCGGAAAAAACGAAGTGATATGCCCAATTCAACTTCTTTGGCCTCCACACCGCAAACCACACCTTTTGGAAGAGCTACAGAAACAGATATGATGCCTCCCCCTTTTAACTTGGATGACTCGCCCGTTGAAGAGGGAGTAGGAGAAGAAGAAGAAGAAGAAGAGAAAAGAAAAGAACCCTCCACAGTGGATGGACTAAACCGTGAAAAAGGGATATTATCCAATCAACAAAATGAGTCTTCATCTCCACAGAAAATTCCAGTATATAAACCATCTATTGTCATGCCTGCACAAGGGGCAAGTATGACGGCCACAGAAAGAAAAAAACAGCGCAAATTTATGAAAGCGGCACAAATGTAGAAAAAGAAAAAAAAAAAGAAAATAAAAGAGACTTGTATGTCTGTATATATATATATATACATATATATAATCAGACTTTTTATGTGAAATACAGAGAAGAAAAAAAAGAAAAGAAGGAGAGTTTCTGCTTTTCTTCTTCTTTCTAGAAGAAAGAGCTTTTTGGGGGAAAAATTGATCTTTTTTTTTCTTTTATAGTTGCTTTGTTTTCTTTTTTTTTTTTCTTTTGTTTTTGTTTTTGTTGCTTTTCAGGAGCTGTGGTGGAAGAGCTGAAAGTAAAAAAAAAAAGAAAAAGACGAAAACAGTTTTTTTTTTTCTTTTTTTTCTTTTCTTTTTTCTGTGGATGTGTGAATTTTGTTTTTTTTTGTGTGCGTTTATCTTTCTGTGGATTTATTTGCTGTGTGGGAGATGAACGGTGGAAGTTGAATCCACCTGTTCAAAGCTCTTCCCCCTTCTGTGATGTGGATCTCTGTAATCATCTTTACATGGGTATATATTTAGTATTACCCTATAAATAGAAAGGAATTGAAAACAGGAGGCTGAGAAAGGAATAAGAGGCAAAGAAAGAAGAGAAGAACAAGAACAAACAAAAAGAAAAAAAAAACAACGACAACAAATATTATGAAGATTAAAGGATTAAAAGGGGAAAAAAGGAAAAACAACGCACACAAAATGTCGATCTTCGTTGTTGCACTACTCATAAGTCTGAAGAGAAGAAAAATGATGAAGAAGAAAAAAAAAAACTGTACCAAACTTCTTGTTTATTGAAGGGTAGTGAGACAGTATTGACATTCCTGTAGTGTGTTTATATATATATATATATATATATATATAGAGCATTGCAAGTAATATCTTCGGTTATAGTTAGTTGTTGCTGTTGTTGTCGTTTTTCTGTTTCTCTCTCTCTCTCTCTCTCTCTATATATATATATATATATATATATATATATGAATATATATGAATATATATAAATCTATATTTATATTGTATGTATTTATTAAGAAGGAGGAGAAGTGTGTAGATAATCCACTATACACACAACTTCTTCCTTTTTTTTTATTTTTATTTTGTGTTTCCCCTGCTGCACCTTAATAATTTTTCCCCCCTCTTCCCTCTCTCTTTACACCTTCATTGTTACGGCTTTGATGTATTGTAATATAAATACTCAACAGCCGTTGAGTTTGGAGAGAAAGAGTGGTGGAGGTGGTGTAAAGGTGAGTAAAAAAGAAAACGAAAAAGATAAAGAAAAATAAATAAATAAATAAGAAAATACTCAATGTATGCAAGTGAAGAGAAAGATCTTTGGGATGTAACTTACATTCTCCCAAACAGTCATCGCCGTGTTGTTTACCGAATGGTCCCACTACACAATATAAATGATTTAATAGAACTCACATGTGAAATGGCCAAGACATGTAAAATACGTATGCAGTGTAATGATCTCACACCCACGGCTCATGTCCATACAAAATATATACTCCCAGGATTCCATTTATACCACGAATTGCCTAATAATAATAATAATAATAATGATAATATACCGCATGGGGAATCTTTCTTATTACAGCCCAATCCTGCGAGTTGGCATTCATTTTATCAACAACAGGGAAATTCAAAAAGTGTGCTGCTGCGTATAGTGCCATGCGAACTATTCACATCACCTCATGTGAAGAGGAGGAAGGGAGAACTCTCTCTTAATAGATTAGGGAAGAAAAGGGAAGATGATAATAGGGAAATATCTACAGAAGAGAAGGTGGGAAATCCTTCTCTACGGGTTTTACATTCTACGAAAGTGGAAACACCTTCAACTTCTTCCCCTAAATTAGATTCTCACTTTTCAAAATTTCCACCGGCTCTTATACAATTACGAAGACAAATCAATAGAGATAGTTCTTTACAAAATAAATCCCCTACACATTTATATGATGGTGATACTTTAGTAGATGTTTCCCTCGCAACTGTTCGTATATTTGCTCTTCGGTATGTTCTCTCACAAATTCATGCATTTCTAAATGAACAAATTACGGCTAGTAAAAATAAAGAAGAAAGAATTCCATTATTAACACGAGAAGGTATAGTTTACTTTGCTGCCGCTGTTGTAAAAGAATGGCAAATGAAATTAGAGTTTACAACTGCGGCTATGAATGAAGTATGGAACTGTATACCTCCATTAGTGCGGAATGCCCAATTTGAATATCTAAAGAATATTCTCTTTAATATATGGACTCAATTTCTTGAGGCTAAAGAAAATCAAAAGAAAAATCAAGAAGAAGTGAAGAATAAAGAGAAAATGAAAATGATGGGGATAGAGAAGAAACAATCATCTCTTCATAGTGTTAATGAGAAGAACATAAAAACAAAACCATCAGAGAGAATCGCATTAATAGAAGAAGTAACATATTGTTCAAGTAGAGGTCCACTACCGCTTCCATCAGGGAATGTGGAAGGAAAACAACTTTTTCTTTCCCTTCTTAATGTGAACTCACAGGTAGATGTGAAGAAGGAATTCTCTGTTACTGGTCAAGTACTTGGGGTAAGAAATCCTTTGGGATTGTTTTGGTGGATTGTGGAAAGTGAATGGAACTCACAAACATCAAATGATAAATTCCAACAAGGTGAAGAAAATTCAGTATTACTCCCATTAGATGTTTTTTATAATGAATCCCGTTTAGTAACGTTTCAAATTACTTCTCAGACATTTTTACTTATCATACAAGCTGGAACCCTTAACGCTTCACGGAGTTATCGATTGATTGCAGAGGTGTGTGATATTCACACTGGTGAAATTGCTGTAGATGAAGTGAAGTTTTCTACTATGGGATGATTATTGAAGATGATGTGAGTTTACATATTCTCAGATGTGGATATCTCTTCTATATTGTTGATGATGATGATGATTATTATTATTATTATATTGATTTTGTATAATTGTAAAGACATTTGAAGATCTTTTTTTTTTTTCTTGATGTTGTTGTTGTTGTTGTTCCTTTGTCCTTATTTTTTTTTTATTTTTATTTTTTTTCGTTTAATGATTATTATTTTTTATTTCTTCTTTTCTCTCTCTCCCTCTCTCTTTCCGCTTGGTTTCGCTATCTTGTTTTTCTTTATTTCTTTTTTTGTATTTCTATTACTTATATTTGTGCTTTCACTCGTACATTTCCTCTTCCTTTGTTCCCTTATTCTATCATTTTTCTTTTATTTTCTTCTTTTTTTTTCGTATCTCATTAGGGGTTTGGTGAGTAGCTTGTGGTGGTTGACTTTTCTTTATTGTTTTCTTTTTTTTTTTATTTTATTTGACTTTTGATCTTCGGGTCGCGTATAGTCACGAGAGGGAACCCCCCACTCTCTCTCTCTCTCTCTCTCTTTTTTCTTCACAATAACACCACACGAGCAGCTTCACATCAAGGAAGCTAATATATATATATATATCTATATATATAGAGAGAGAGACGACACACAAACCGATACGTCTTTATATATATATAAGGAGAGAAAGGGAGAGTACGAATTATTTTCTTCGTATCTCTCTCTCTCTCCTTTCTCTCTTTCTGTGTGTGTGTGTGTGTTTGTGAACAAGATAGAGAAAAGAAAGAAAAAAGAGATAGAAGAGATAGTTTGTGTGAGTGAGTGATTGAGTGACTGACTGACTGACTAAATAAATATGCGCTTAGTGTATGGATCTTCACTACCTCCTGGGGTAGAAGCATCTACACGTGGTGAACTTCGCATTCGAGTAGAGAAATTATTATTAAAGGATGGTTTAGTCCACACAAGTGTCTCCTCCAGTGTATCCACCGCCGGCCCGCGGCCGTACACCATTCCCGTAGATGAATGTGCGGTGAGTGCATTATTTTGGGGCGAGCAGCAGTCGAGTTCTCACTGCATTCCAGCAACACCGGGTAAACCGCGTGGGACCGTCTCGCTTGTATTTCCCGTGAAAACATATGAACAACAGTTTAGTAGTTACTTGGCACATATGAGTAATTCCACACAGAAAGGTCTTCAGTTATCTGTATTTGTTCCTACGAGTTATAGTGGAAGGCATAAACCCGTTAGTGTGGGGAAAATCATTATTGCATTAGATACATTAAAACCTTCCATTCCCATCTCTGGATGGTTTGCTGTGGTGAGTAATGAAGTGAGAAGTATGGATGCTGTAAAGGAGAGTGAGGGATCTCAAACAAAAGAAGAAGAATTTATAGAAGTGGGGAAATTAAAACTTACGTTTACACTAACATTCTTTACACGAGCAATGCAATCCCCTACATCTCATAAAACTCGCAGTGTCTCTGTAAACTCATATGAGAAAAGTGGAAGAAGTCAAAGTAGAGAAGGACGTTTTCTTAAGGATCCTAATACCTCACGTACAACTTCATTAGTAAATCCTGAAATAACAGTCTTTATGGATACTACACAAGGACCATTAGAAGAACAAGAGCAAAAATTATTATCTCCACCAAAGGAATCTATTGGTACTTCTCCTATTACTAATACTAATACTACTACTACTTGTATGAGGGAATCTAAATATTATCCTTCTTCTCCTTCTCCTACACAACGAGAGTCTACTACTAGGTCAAAATCAGCGCAAGATCCTTTACAAGGTACATTACCGTATGCATCCGTTACTCCAACTATGGGGTTAAATCAGCAGAATGTAATTGGACAACTTATTCAAAAGGGATTAGGTTTACGGGAAAAAATGTCAAAAGCCTTACGACCTTTTTCAGCTAGTGAGAATCTTTCTTATTCAACGAGACAACCTTTAACACTTTCATCCCCGACTACACTTAAAACAGTACCAAATTATATTCCTACTACTTTACCTGCTGAACATCTTATAAATAAAATACCTATTTCAACTGATCCCCTTGAAAGCTCTGTTAGCTCTGCAAATGATGAATCTTTAGAGAGTAAAACAGATGATGATGATGATGATGATGAGGATAATGAGGATGGTGGTATGAAAATGAAGAGAAGAACTTTTAGTAAAGAGCCAAAGGGGTATTCTATTGATGAAATGGAAAGACATTCTTTTCAAACACCTTTTAAACCTTCTGGATTAAATCCTAATGAAAATGCTTATGTAGAAGTAGATATTTCTAAAATTGCTTTTTCATCAGGACGTGCAACTCTAGGAATGGAAGAAATGCGTGTTGGTATTCGTTTATCAAAAGATGTTAAAACAGATGAGCCGGTAGAGTCTTATTCATCGTATGTTCATCGTGTTCCTCTTGCTCGTGGAGCTAATCATCATATTATTATAGGATTTCCAATTCGTTCCTTCAGTAAAGATAAGAGTCGAATGGTGATTTCATTTTACCGAGTACGTTCCGCACCGGTAGCGAATCCACCTGGTGAATTATTATTACCCCCACCCGCATCTGCACAACGTGTACTTGTGGATGAAACTTTACTTGGTATGTGTATTGTAGGTTTGCATGATCAATCTAGAGATGTGGTTCTTCATGATCCTATTACAGGTGAAGACCCAACACAGGCGTATATTCATGTTTCTTTGCGAAATAGTGAAATACAACAACTCTCAGAAGAACAGCGGGGAAGTGAAAATTTAGGAGAGAAAAATATGCAACAAGAGCAAAGGAATATGAAGGGAAGAGGAAAAAATGAAAATAAGGTTTTGCATAATAGAAAAGGTCATATGGACTCTATTGATACGTCGAAGGAACACTATCGTAGTAATTTATTGAGTCAATCTCAATCTCAGAAGAAGAAACGAAAACATCATCTACGTTCTCATAGTTCTTCTTCTTCTTCATCTGCTTCTACACCAGAGAGTTCTTCATGTTCATCAGAAGATTCAAGTCCATTGTTAAGTCCATCTGGAGATGGAACACAAGAAGGAAAAAAGAAAAGAGTAAATGGTATTATTCCTAATTCAAATAATCTTTCTATTTCTCCTCCTTTATCTTTGTCTGCTACTGCCGCTACTGCTACTGCTGCTGGTGGTAATAATGATGTTAATCTTTATACAGCTGTGACTGCCGTTCCTGCTGCTACTGCGGCTGATGATAATGATAATAATAATAATAATAATAATGATATTATTAGATCTCAGGAGAATGGTCCTGTTAGATGTAACCTATCTACAGTTGACAATGGTAATTTTGGTATGAATGCTGAAAAACATGCACGTTTGGTAGATGCTCATACAAATACGTTACCGACTGTAACTAAAGTTGAAGATGAGAATTTATCTGATCGTTTCCGCATGCATGTCTCTATACGTGCAGGGAAAGAACTTCCAATGGTTACTGTAAGTCAAAATGGATCTCCTTTATTATCAACTGTCGCTGCAATTGATCATTTTGATAATGGAGTACGATCTGCTGTTACTTCAGATGGTCGTCTTGTTCTTGTGGATAGTGAACATCGTGTATTTCAACCTCCCACTACTTTTTTTGTAATTGAAGATATTTACAGTGGAGCTGATTCCCGTCTGGCCTCTAAAGGTGTGGTTCCGGATTGGTTTGTAGAGGCCGCCGTGCGTGGGGAATATGATCGAACCTCCATAGTCCCACAATCGCAGAGTCCACAGTTTGATTATGAATGTATTCTTTCACTTCCATGGGAATCTGTTTTTCTTCGTCAGGCTCCAAAGAAGAGTAAAGGTGTAGTCGGTGCGGATAATAATATCTCATTATTACCAGAGGGATCTACTTCACCACTCACCTGTGTAACGACGGCAACCTCTACAAGTACAAAATCAGCAACGAGTACGACTACAACCGCAACGACATTATGTTTACAAGAGATGAGACTCACATTATGGCATGCGGTTGGGGATGCGAATAAAAAGGTTTCCTCTTTAAATACAGATGAGAAGGAAGAAGAAAAGTTTTGGGCGAGAACGGCACTTTTGGGGGAATGCCGCGTGGATTTACGGTCCCTGCGATTTCTTAAAGTACTTGACGGATGGTATCGTATCAACGCCATTGATAGAGTTGACGAAGTTGTGGGATACGTTCGTGTTAGTGTACGTTTGCTGTGAAAAAAGAAAAAGAAAAAGAAGAAGGGAAGAACGAAAAAAAAAAAAAGAATGAAATTTAACAAAAAAAAGGTGAGAATGACTATATGAAGACTGAGGAATGAGGATATATATATATATATATATATATATATATATATATATATGGGGTGGTGGGTTTATTGTTGAATGTATTGAAGACAGAGGTACCTATATATATATACAGAGTGAATGGTTGTAATAAGGATATTGGGGTCGAGGAAAAACAACAAGGCAGAAGGGAATTATAAATACGAAAAGAAAAAAAAAATGTGGCGTGGGAGAAATATACAAAACAACTAACCAATTTGGTGTTTGACAGTATTATTATTTAAAGCAGTAAACAACTTGGAAGTATAATCAAGAAGATATATATATATATATATATATATGATGCATTCTAAATTTGGTTGTTGCTATGAATGGGATCTCTGCTGGGCTTATATATATAGATTTGGAGATACGCATCGAATATTTCTTGAAATGCGCAAAAAAAAAAAAGAAAAAAAAAACAGAAAGAAAAGAAAAAGAATAGTGATGATTAAAAAATTATTATAGAGGGAAAAAATATCTTTTTTTTTATATTTTGGTTTTCTATCGCTTTTTGTTGTTGCTATGATGATGATGATGATTATGATAATTGTGTGATGATGGTGAGTGTTGGTTTATCTCAGAAATCGTTTTGGGAACGCTATTTTTGCTTAACTGTATACATCTGTATCTCTGTGCGTGTAGGTCTATTGTTTTTTTTTTTTTTCTTTTCTTTTCTTTTGTTTCATTTTTGTGAATGTGAGTGGATTCATTTTATTATCTTCCGCTTATTACTCGTCTCTACCACAAATTTGATGCTCATTTTGGTGGCACAATGACTGTGGTGATTCTCAAATGATTATCCCAATGACGCCGCAATACACAATATATATAAACAGATGTATATATATATATAAAGAGACATAAACTTCAATCTCTAGAGAATTGTAAATGTATTTCTTTCTTTATAATAATGTTTATATCTATGTATGTATGTATGTTTTTTTTTCTTTCTTTCTTTTCCCTTTGTTTTTCATGGCTCACATTGTACAGAAGGAAGAGTTTAGTTCCTGTTAGTATTATTGGGGAGTCCAATGACTGTGCCTACAGTCGTCGGACATTATGAAACACCTCTCTTATCTCAGAATGAAGAGAGAACTCAACGAACTCAACTTCTCGCAGAAAATGAAAATATGAAAAATGATAAGAACTCTCAAATAACATGGAGTACATCCGTTAGTGTGGATGATGGGGATAAACTATACTTGCAGGACTTTACAACATTATCATCATCAGTATTAGTTGAACCCAATTTGGAAGATCATTTTTCTATAAATTTTGGATCCAAAGAGATAACAAGATTTAATTCATATTTAGATTGTATGGTACATTTCATTAGAAGTTTAACTGTACAATTGTTATTGATATCATTAATTACGCTTAATTGTATATTCGTCTTATATGGATATTTCTCTGATGTTGGTCAATTAATTCCCTTCAATGTTATTTTAGCTTTTATTGTTCTCGTAGGAGATCTTTTGATTCTCATCAGGGATAGACAATATCACTTTAATCCTCCTTGTAATCGGAAACAAATTATTATTGCTGATTTTTGCTTATTTCTTTCCTTTCTATTGGAGTTGATCACTTTAACGGTATGGTGGGTAACGAAAGATGTACTGGTGATTCTCACTGGATTCCCAGCGGCTGTACTTTTATATTATCCGCAATTTAGATGCTTCACATTGGCTCTTCGTCATTTTGTTTCTGCAGATCGTCGTCGTTATTGTGCGAATGGATTTGATTTGGATCTCACATTTATTGATTCCACCGTAGTGGCCACCTCATGGCCTGCAAGTAAGTTTGAGAGTTTATTTAGAAATCCTGCAAGGGAGGTGGAGAATTTACTAGATATTAAATATGGTATTCATGCCTATCATGTATTTAACCTTTGTGCGGAGAGAAATTACGATAATCCAGCACTCTTTCACGGGGATGTCTCGCGTTATCCAATGGATGATCATAATCCAGCAGAATTGGAAATGATGATAAACTTTGTATTGGAAGCAACTGCATTTATACAAAGAGATCCAAGAAATCAATGTATAGTGGTTCATTGCAAAGGTGGTAAAGGGCGAACAGGTACAATGGTGTGTGCGTATCTTATCTATACAGGAATGAAAAGAACAGCAGATGAGGCTTTAGAGTACTTTGGCTCTATGCGAACCGCTAAAGGTGGAAAGTTTCAAGGTGTACAAACCCCTTCACAGGAACGTTATGTTCGTTATTTTGCTCAATTAATTTCAAGTAGAACTCCAAATGTAGGGTTAACGGTAAAATCTCAAACAAAACGAATTACACAATTTATGCTGTTAAATATTCCATCATTTTGGTGGAAAGGTGGTATTGGAAAGTTATGGTTTGTTATTATTTTAAAACCATGTACAGAGAGACGTGTCGTATATATTTCAAACCCTAATGTTAATTTTAACGTTCATTCACCTATCTGTTCATCTACAGAAGTATGGAATCAGTTACGTGATGTTTATATACAAAGTGAGGATTCTCTCTATAGTGATGCACAAAATATAAATTCAGAAGAAAATGTTTGTTCCTATTACGATACATTTACCGTTAATCTTTCTCATACAGAAATGAGTTCTGCGGAATTTGATAATCAATATATTAATTCTAATGTCGTAAATAATATTGATTTAAAAGTATCATTGAATGTCCCTCAGTTGGAAAGACTACCACCTCTTACAGGTGATGTAGTGATAAAGTTTTATTATTTAAAAAAGAATGTTACTTCTATTGAAGCCCCAGTGCAGTTGTGGTTCCATACATCTATGGAGGGTGATCAACTTTATTTTGACAAATCAAAGTTGGATGGACCGCATAAAGATACAAAAGGAAAACGATACCCAAGTGACTTTGCAGTGATGATAAACTTGCAGAATGAATTTGACTCAAATGAATAGTTCGCTTTCTTTATATTCCTGAGTTTATTTCTCTTTTCTATTTATTTATTTATTTTTTTTTTTTACTTATTGGGAAACATGCAAGGCCGTTTTTTTTTTTTTTTTTTTCTTCTTATCACAGGACGGTGAAGAAGGAAAGAAAAAAAAAGGATTAAAGAAAGAAAAATATATATATATATATTTGACTGTTGGCAATGTGAAAAGGGATTTTTCTAGTGGTGTGAAATACATTATCGTAGTATAGTTTGCTTGAGAGAGTATGGAAAGAAAAAAAAAAACAAAAAAAGTGAGAGGAATGAGAGAAAAGAGAAAATATTCTAAAGGTTTGTTTACCATTGCTTATCCATATGTTTTCATTATTATTTTTTTTTCTCTTAACATAAGTATATCGTTGTAATCTAAAATTCACTGTTTTTTTTTTTAATTTTTTCTTTTATGTATATATACATTCTTTTTTATTTTAAAGGTTGTACAAAAGACAAGGAGGGAGAAGAGGGAGTAAGAGAGATTACAAAGAGGATCAAATAGATCAAAAAAAAAATCTTTTTTTTTTTTATTATTATACAAACAAACATATTTACCATACCCAAACATAAACAAAAAAAAGGCAAGTACCCATTTTGTTATTGGTAGAGCTTATTTTACAATTTGGTTTGCCTCAAAAAAAAAAAAAAAAAAAACTTTTCTTCTCATTTGCGATGTTTCGACGATACTATCCGCTCTTCTCCCTCAAGCCTGTCGGTGTATTTCCAAACCTAAACTCTGCATTCCCAACACTACGTGAGGTGTGTGAGAAGAGTGGAACTCCAAAAGATTTGGTGGAAGAAGTATTGGAACAAATACGAGAGGCCGAACTTCACGATGCGATTGTACCTCATTTTGAAATTACGTGCGTTCGTGTTTACTCCCCACCTCCTCTGGAAGATGGGGAATTTTCTTCCATGGTACTTTTCCGTGGAACTCCCGATACCAATGTGGAAAAACGTGTAAATGATGAGAATCAACAATTGTACTTTTCCAGTTCACTTCGTGTCGCATTACCGTACGGTCAAATTCAAGAAAATGATGGAAACTACCGAATTACACTTTGTCGAGTGGCTCGACGTCCAGGACGACAGTTATTTAATAAAGCCGTGGCTTCCGAAGATGACTTGAAACTCTTGGACAGTGTACAGGGAGATATGAATCTTTTCAGTCATGCGAAAGCCGAACAATGCCGTCAAGATTCCCCAGGCGTGGAGCCAATCTTTGATGGTGTCGTTGACTGGATTGATGACGGGGCCTCCTACTGCTTTGACTCCCATCACGCACGGATGCATACAATACTTTCTATTGATACAAGGTGTTAAAAATGTATCTTTAACCGAAAACGACAAGTGGAAAAAAAAAAAAAAACAAATAGATGGAATCAACTTATGTTGATAAGTATGAATCTCTGCAAAAAAAAAAAAAAACGGGTAAAAGGAAATCAAAAAAAAAAAGGGGAAACGGAATCTTTTTTCTGCTTTATATATTTTTATTTGGTTACATAACAGTTCAATCATGTGAGTTTTGAGTGATTTTTTCTTTTTTTTTTTTTTTTTTTTTTTTTTTTTTTTTTCTTATGCGC